GGGAGCGGGAGGCAGAGAGAGAGGGGGCAAGGAAAGGAAACAGATGGGGGGGGGGGGGGGGGGGGGGGGGGGGGGAAGAGGGGAGGATTTGAATTGATGTTATCTCAGAGTCTCTGTGATGATTGCCACAGAGGGTCAGCCGGGTTATGGTTTAATACAATGGCAGACAATAACAGAGCTGATGGGCAAATGGCGATGTATGTGCGCTTGTGTGTGTGCGTGTGTGTGTGTGTGTGTGTGTGTGTGTGTGCATCTGCATGCATGAGTGTGTAGGGAGAGCAGGGGAGCATGTCTATGAAGTCTTCCAGTACAGTGAAGCTGTGAGGTTTCTGAAAGGTGACAGCGGTTCAACACAGACAGAGAGAAAATCTGAGAAATATGGAACCCCTTTCAAAATAAAGCGCAGAAAATCACTGAAAATCCACTTTACATGTGACCCGAGCAGCGTCTTGCCTGAAAGATATCGACATCTACAGGACTGCAAATAAGATTTCAGCACGATCTTTACAAGTCATTGTCTCTTTTTACTTTGCGCCCCTTCCAAATGTCTCCATCTCTCTTTTACTCTTGCCTCACTCTTACTCAACCTCCTCCTCGTCTTTTTTTCAATTATTCTGACACCTTTTTTTTTTTTAAAAATTCCGTCCGTCGCTCTGCCTTTCGTTTCTACATGCGACTCTCCTTTATCATTTCTACACCTCTATTTTTATTTACTTGCCGTATTCTTTGCCAGCTTTAACTCTCTTTCTCTCACCTCACGTCCTCTTGTTGCATGCCTCTCCATATTTCACCCCTGGGTGCCCCTGGAGCTTTAAAAAAAAAATACTCAGCCAACTGTAACAGGAGACAGTAGAAAGGAGCTGTGTGCTGCTGGCTCAGCATTTCTCCACTAGAGTGTGCCTCAACCAGAAGCCTGCCAGGCAGAGTGGTGCTTTCACACACGTATACACACACACGAGGGGTCCTCAAGTCCAACCTCTCAATTATACAATTACACAGTCCAGCAATTGCCCCCAGCAGGAACTGTTTATTTGCCTTTACCACCGAATAATGCTGCCTTTTGTTCTGTAGCTCTTTAAGTGGAGATGAAAGGATGATAAAACCTCATTACTTTCTGCACACTGTATTGATTTTTAACCTCCTAAGTACTGTTGGTGGCAACGCACTGTGGCGGTCAAGCAGTGCCTACACGTAGTGTATCTGGAGAAGTTCCAGATCTGCCGACTTTGAAAAGGCATGGTATGCATGCATGTGTGTGTGTGTGTGTGCACATGTGTTTAGTGGGGGGTAGACAGCTGGTAAAACAAGCCACGGTGCCGTGCTCTGATTCTAATTGCACTGTGAAAAGTGATCTGGCGCTGTACACACACGTGATGGCCAACGGATAAAGTCAAACAAATCTCCGAGCATGAGTTTAAAAAAAAACAAAAAAAAAAACGAGGTAGTAATGTGATCATTGGCAGGTTGGTGGAATTCTTTTCTTCTGGCAAAACAACCAAAGTCACATGGGTACAGATTTGTGTGTGTGTGTGTGTGTGTGTGTGTGGGGAAGGGGGGGCCCGTGTGTGAAGGTGCTTAGATGCTGGCATGCTGCTTGTGTGCGAGCCAAGAGGGACAAGTGCCAGCCAGTCTGGTGACTGGGTCAGGTCACTAAGCTATATGGTCAACAAGTGTGCAAGACTCTTAGGGAGTTCAGAACGGGGTCAAAGCGCTTTAACACATATGCATCCTCCATCCTCCAACCTTCCACCTACCATGTACTCCATGTTGGAAGACGGAGGGTAAACCTGGCCTCTGAGCTTGTTGTGAAGGTCCAGGATGAGCTGAGCATCACTGTCCGTAATGGCCCTCTTCCCCCTCTGCTTGGCCTCCCACCAGTCCCCATCCTCGTCCAGATACTTGTCCAGAATCTGCCCCCAGCCAGTGGAGTTCAGAAGCATCACCATGGACGCGGTCGTCTGGAGCAGCAGGAGCAGGGACACGCCCCTCAGCCAATTTTGAGATGCACGCCTCATCCTGGAGATGGTGATGATCCTCTCAGACTCAGGCGGGGTGGACGGGGTGAAACGGGGAGCGGGCCAGCACAGAAAGACACTCTTCTTCTTCGTCGACAGTGTTAGCTGGCAGAGGAGCCGGGAGGAGAGAGCAAAACAGGATTATTGGATGGATTGGAACTGGTGTTCTGTATCAAATTTGCTGAATAACTTGGGTCAATATTGAACTTGGTGAGGACAGCGCATTGGCGTGCAGACACTTGGTTTGGTGCAGAGCCACGGGTAACCTCATGGAGTTCACTGGGGGAAAGCTGGCAGACTGGGAATGACTAGTGAGGGTGTGGATTAAAGAAATGACTACTGGTGTTGAACTTCCTTGAAGATACAACTTTTTTCCCCTCAAAATAAAAAAAGTAAAGACAAGCTTGGGAGCTGCTCAAAATAAATCTCAGATCACATTAAGCAGTGCAGCTGTAATAAAAGTGCACAGAGTGATGCATAATGTAGCTAATGCATTCACAATACTATATGTAGACATATATTTCCAGCTGGACTTTTTGGTATGCACACTGCAGTGCTGACAGAAGCTGATATAACGTGCCAATACCTAATGGAAAACGTGACGAGTAATGCATATTGAAACAGAAATGGACTGTTGTGATTTAATGTAGACTTTGGAAATAATTTACCTTTAATGAATTGGAATGCAGCCCGCTTCTTGAGATCTTGACAGAGATCTGGCTGTGAGGAAACTTCAGCAGCAAGTAGAGGAGGAAAAAAAGCAAAGTCCGCCTTGAGAGAAAGTTGCAGAGCTCAGGTGGAGCGGTGATGACTGTCGCTGGCTGCCATATGACATCAATCAAAGATGTGTTGTGGTCGCTTCGCGCCGTTTGAGTAAAGAGAGAGTGGCTCTTTCTTCTTTCGGGATTCTTGCACCAAAGCCGCTAAAGCATCACTTATCCACATTTTATTCTCAACTTGGCTGCGCTTTGAGAGAGCCGCCCCTGACCACGCCTCTGCAACAGGGTGAAACGGCCCACTCGGTCATGCCAAGACCTCTGTGCGCGTCCGGGGTCGTGCGTATGTTCAGTGTGAGCAGAAAGTTTTTTTCCTCCCCAGTGTTGTACAAGTTAACCTCTGAAACCCAGTCTCTATTTCCAATGCAAAAACAGACAAGTCTGTAATATTCCTGCAGAAACTTTTAGAGTTTAATAGTGACGTTATTGCACTTATTTGCATGGGCGGATCATGAGACAATGGGCTCCTGGGCACAGATATACAAAGGGCCCCACCACCTCTCCTACACAGTAGCAAGACACACAGACTCTGTGGTGGTTTTCTGTATCTTTTTAGCCGTCATGGATGTTTTGTGGGTTTGTGTCTCTTTGTGGTGTTTTTGTGTCTCCTTGCTGTTATTTTGCAGTTGTTTAGATCTCTTTGTTGAGGTCATCCTGTGTCTCCCTTGGGTTGTTCTGTGTCTCTTTGAGGTCATTTTGTGGTCACTTGTCATTGTTTTGTGTCATTTTGTAGTTGTTTGGGTCTCTTTGTGGTGATGTTGTGTCTTACAGAGGTCATTTTATGTGTCTTTGCGGTCATTTTGTATCTCCCTCTGGTTGTTTTGTGTGTCTTTGTGGATGTTTTGTGTCATTTTGTAGTCATTTGGGTCTCTTTGAGTTAACGTTGTGTCTCTTTGAGGTCATTTTGTGTCTCCTTGTGGTTGTTTTGTGGTTCTTTGAGGTCAATTTGTTTCTCCTCGCTGATGTTTTGTGTATTTTTGTAGTCGTTTGTGTCTTTTTGTAGTTGTCTGGGTCTCTTTGTGGTAATGTAATGTCTTAGAGAGGTCATTTTATGTGTCTTTGAGGTCAATTTGTGTATCTTTTAAGTCATTTTGTGTCTCCTTGTGGTTGTTTTGTTTTGTTTCGTAGTTGTGCGGGTCTCTGTGGTGTCCCATTTTGTGTATCTTTTAAGTCATTTTGTGTCTACCTTTGTTTGTTTTGTGGCTCATTGTCATGTTTTCTGTCATTTTGTAGTTATCTGGTTCTCTTTGTGGTAATGTTGTGTCTTATTGAGTTAATGTTGTGTCTTACAGAGGTCATTTTGTTTTTTGGCTTTTTGAGGTCATTTTGTGTCTCTTTGTGGTTGTTTTGTGTAACATTGTGTCTTTTTGAGGTCATTTCATGTATCTTTGATGTCATTTTGTGTATATCTGAGGTCATTGTGTGTCTTTTGGGTCCCTTTGAGATAATGTTGTGTCTTATTGAGGTCATTTTGTGTCTCCTTGTGGTTATTTTGTGACGTTTTGTAGTCATTTGCGTCTCTTTGAGTTAATGTTGTGTCTTACTGAGGTCATTTTGTGTATCTTTGAGGTTGTTTTGTGGCTCTTTGTGGTCAACTTGTGTCTGTTCTTGCTTGTTTTGCCCATTTCTACAGTTATTTTGCACGTCTTGTGTCTCTTTGTAGTTCCTTTGCAGGTCTTGTGTCTCTTTGTAGTCATTTTGTGTCTCATGCTGGTTTTTGTATGTCTCTTCATCGTAATTTTGTGTCCCTTTATGCGTTTTTTTGCATCTCTTTAAGGTAATTTTGTGTCTTTTGGTTGTTTTATGTCTCTTTGTAGTCATATTGTGTCTCACTGTGGTTGTTTTTCCCCCTTTTTAATTTTTCTGGGTCTCTTTGCAGTTCCTTTGCATGTCTTTATGTCCTTATTGCGTCTCTTTGTGGTCACTCTGAGTCTCTTCCAGGTTGGTACATGGTAATTTGAGTAACATTTTTTAAGGTGAAGGGGGGATGCGCTGACACTTTGGGTCCCTGGGCACGTGCCCAGTAGTGATCCTTCCATGCATATTGGTTCTGGTACTAGATCTTCAATATCCCTCTATAATCTAAAGTATTATAATACTGATAAGATTTGTATCTTGTATCTGGATTTCTGTCATTCTTTGACAACGTTTCATCCTCAGAACAGTAACATGCACTTAAGGATTGTTGACTGACTGTTGCCCTCTTACCTGGTTACTGCTTTGGTCAAAAATACATTAATGTAAACCAGATCTTCCTCCTCTGTGGGGCCAGCCAGCAAAAGTGGCCCCATTCTCCCGTGGTCTAACTGTTCACAGGTGACTCCTTTGGGGGGATTAAAACACAAACCAACTCTCTGTTAATTCCAAACCCCCAACTTGTCGTCACTGTTTCCCCTCCCGCCACAACACAGTACAAATTCCATAATGGAAACAGGCAGGTTTTGTCTTTTGTCATCTGGTCATTTTCAGTGGTAGCTGTGGCACATGTGGAAACAGTAGCTAATCACCAGGCCTCTGTGTGTGTGTGTGTGTGTGTGTGTGT